TGCAATTTTTTGAGTGATCGACTCATCCCACCTAGTAATGAACTGTGATGGTACTTGGTAGTATCCATGTCAGAAGCTGAATCAGCTCCTGACCAGTAAGGAAGAGTAGCACTGAGAAAAATGAAGTGTAACAGGACACACTTCTTTCTCTCCTAAACTAACCTATTCAGTAAACCAAGGAGCATGTGTAATGTTCCGTGGGTGAATCAGCAATGCCACATGTACAAAGCAGGCATACGTGGCACGTGAGCCGTTGGTTTTAGATTTGCTAAGCAACCAGATTTTGGGAGGGGTTAACCACAAGGGAGAGAGAAAGAGTGCTGTCCACAGCTATCAATTATTTCCCAGATGACAGCGTGCTTGAACCAGACATCATGTTTCTCCATCACTGTTGGACTCCCCACCTTTTCCCACAACTGAGAAATTTTAAACTACAGGTTTGGTTGGAACAGAATTTACACAGATGGCTCTCGCTGCTAGTTCTTGTTGGTCACACAGACCAAGAGTGTTAAAAACAGAAAGATGAGGAAGGTCCGTGAGGCCATAATCAGCATACTCCAAGGGTTTCTTTTGGAATGAGCATCTAAGAGTATCTGACTGTGTTTGCCCTGCAGTTTTTAACCAATGAGCTCAAGTGGATATTATCCCTGTTAGAAGAAAGTAGAGGTAAAAATGACTGGCCCAAGACCACACAATAGAATCCCAAGTCTCTAGTCTTCCTGTCCTCTATTCTAACCATTAAGCCAGTTTGTTCCCTTGTTTTGCTGGACGACGCCCCGCTAAGAACCTTGCTCTATGTCACGTTGGATCGATATGTGAGAACCATTAAAAGCCTTCAGTAGATGTTGCCAGCTTTTCCCTAAGGATGTTCCACTCTTTGGCTCTAACAAGAACGGAGCTTTGGACTGGCTCTCCCAAAGAGCTATTTATACGTTGTGGTGACTCACCTAAGGGCTGCTTCCTGTGTGGATGTTCTTCCACCTTCTGTAAAAAAAAGTAGTCCCTCCAAAATAAAATAAAAGTGGCCGTACTTCCTAACATTATTCAAAGCCTGAATGTTGAAACAGAAAATAGAACAGAAGTTTGCTTATTAATTGCATGAAATACTGTTTTTAAAACAAAATTTATTTGGACAAAGCTCACAATGCAAGACAGTGGAAGGAAGGGTGGGGTTGGGGCTGTCTCCCAGAGAGGAAGGATCATTTTTGGACAAGGCAGCAGTTTTTTTAGACTCACACCCTGACTTTTCCCCTCCTTTAGCGCAGAAAGGAGGGTAATCTCCAACCTTTCTACAGGTTCCTCTGGTCTTGAAGGAGTGACAGAAATCGGTTTGTCAGCAGTATTTCTTATCTAGACTATCTATATACATCTGTTACAGTACATTCGGGAGGAATTCTGTACTATCGTGTGGGAGGGGTTTGTGTTAACTTGGGGTTTAATCCTGTAACAGGTTAACCACATGACTAACTATTCAAAGCAGCAGTTGCAAATCTCTCATGCATAAATCTTTATAGGATCAGGTTAGCAGGAATCACATGAAACAGAGCATGAATGGGGCTTACTCATGTGCTTATGTCTTTGTAAGATCAGCCCTTTATTTCAGTCCTGAATCGCTGAACTTTGGAATCATAGGAGGCCATAACATTTTTCTGAGGGAAAAAAAAATACAGAGTAGTGAACTTTAGTGCAATTGTTTCCTGGGGCTCTGAGTCATGCTGTTCTTGTACAATCTATTCTCGCATTTTGGTTACTTCACGTCATAAAAATATACTGCAAGAATAAACAAAACTCTGCATCTCCTATACGTTGGGAGACAGGATCAGAGCTTGTAGGTCCTTTGGGAACCAAAAGCTCCCATTAACGTCAGCAGGA